GGAATGCATATTTTTTAAAAAAGTTCTCTGCCTCCTGCTCACAGACCAAAGCAAAAGAAAACTGGAAGAAAACACACATTGTGCCAGAGAAAGAAAACAGAACAGGCTCATAATTTCTTGGAACAGAATAAACTACTAGGAACTGTGAGACGGAAGAAAAATCCCATTTTCAATGTAAATCTTCAATTTCACATTCTTCTTTCCCTGCTAGGTTATAAAAAGATTAATTTTTCTAAATAAAACCTCAAGAAAGAAAAAATTAAGTGAGAGCATAAGCACTCCTGGTCCCCCTACACCAGCAGGCAAAACCATTTACCATGCTCGAGAAGCATATTTCATGATGGTTTAAAAATAAACTTGCAGCAGCCAAGTACAACATTTGCTTCCTTGCGAGAGGTGACTGAGCTGCTCTTGGTGTAACAAAAGCAACGAAAAGCTAACCCAGGGCTCCCAGTTTTGTTCTTGATAGCAAGATGAGTGTAAGGTTACTCCTTTCCTTACAGCTAAGCAGAGAAAAAAGAAAGGAGCTGTCAGCTGCCTGCTGCCCGGCAGCTCACACGCTTAGCTCTGAAAGAGGGGGTAAGAAAGGAGGGTTCACAGTATGGGACCACACAGTGCACAATCTCTCCAGCAGCAGAACTGATGGAAGAAGTTTGTGCTCCTGCCTGCAATTTCCCCTCTACCCCACTGCTGATACAGCTGTTAGTTATTTTATATCAGATCATTTTAACATATCACAGCCTAGCCCCACGTACATTAGTACAACCAGGGAGGGGCAGGGGGGAAGAAGAGAAGCAACCAATAAAACAGACCAAGGACTGAAAAGGCAGAGTCAATTTTGTATGTTTAACTTAACTGCTCTAAAAGCTGATGTGGAACAGTGTTCCCAGAGCAGATACAAACCCAAGCCTGTCCAAAACGATTTGGCCCTCCACCAGCAAACACAGCCAACCAGCAACAACTCAAAAGAGGAATCAGTGGAACCACAAAGGCTCACTGCCTTACACTGACAGCAACAGGCAGGAGAGCGGAAAAGGTCAACATGTTCCTATCCCAGCCTGCCTGAGAGACATGAAAGGACTATCTATACGTGTGTTGGGTACTGCGTCCTGTCGGCAGCCCACCTTAATTTTCTTGTGGTTACCCACAGAAGAGGTAATGAGTTCCAATGCAACAGAGTTATTTCATCTAGGCAGCTGAAGCTACTTAGGGAATCATCAGACCTACAGAGAAAGGGTTTCCTTCTGTCCCGCTCTCTTGTATGTCCGAGTTACAAATTTGGGTATCCTAGAAACACAAAGGATCCTTCAGTCTAGAGGGGCCACTGCTGCTTCACAGGCCAAACACCAACATCTCCCCCTCCTCTGCTGGCCCTGCAAGTCACTTTCTAATGCTGGGACACAGCCTCCATGAAAGGGTCTCTTTACAAACCAAAAATGACATCTGATGTCACATCAACCGTTGATCAGGAAACTGCGGTCAGATTTTGCTTTCCTGATACTGCATCTTGCAGTAGAATGCAAAATAGCTTTTGTATAGAAGGGAAATCAATTTATACAATTGTATGATTACATGTAAAACCTCAATTATGAGAAGACAGTTGTGAGCTAATATTATCATGGGGAATGCAAGACATTTTCTGCAATTTCCTACATTTAAAGGCTCCAAAGTATGCAGGCTAGTATGAAATTAAAGGCAAAATATCTTGAAAAGTTTTAATCTATGGTAAATTTGTGACCACTGAAGTATTTTTCTTTAACAAGTATAATCATCTGACAGCTGCAGAAAAAGTTAGCAGTTATGGCAGGTCTCACATGTCTTATTCCTCACTGATGAAGAGCATGCTAAACTGAGTTCTTAGCTGTAAATACAGAAATTTGACATCCACCTTGAGGATGGCTGTGTTAGTTAACTTTTTTCCCACTGTAATACCTACTCTAACACCAACTGAAAAACAGCTCAATGTCTAGAGAAGACATTTGAAAAATAGGGCACTCCGCATGGGCCAGTGTACACACAGGATATGCCTGCATGACTTCTGATGCCAGCTTCCAGAGCTGGAAAGAAAGCCTAAACAAAGGAGTAGCTTTCCATACAGCCTTCCAGATTTAGAGGTAAGTCACGGTAGATGAACATGAAAATAGAATAGAAAGCTGCCTAGAGCATTCAAGCCACCAGGCTGTTAAGACTTTTATAAAGCATTAATTCATTCCACAGTTCAGCAAGGCTGTGTATGTTTTTAATCAATGAAATAAAACCTGCCTAGGACTTGCTGTCCTGCTCAATCACAGTCAGGGCTCTAAAACCCCTGCACAGCTAGTCACTCCTGGGGAAAACAAAACAAAACACCATGCAAAGAAAAAAAGCCAATTAACTGTCAAATTTTTATGACGGGTGTTTTCCAGAGAGTCCAAGATCTTTACAGTATCCTGCCAACTTCCATCATCACTTGCAAAATCCTGAGAGAAAGTAAAAAGGAGACACTGAGGGGATGTTGGGGAGAGAACAAATGGAAACCTCACCTACTTCTACCAAGGAGTCACTTCTGCTCCAACAGTGGACACACAGCTTTCCCTCTGGGCCAAGCAGTCAATCCCAGTACAGCTGGTTTTTTGGGGTTGGTTTTTTTTTTGTTATGGGTTTTGTTTTGTTTTTTACTATGTCCACTGGCAGCATTTAAAGCAGGAGGAAAACACGCATGCAATCTAGAAGACTTTAAATTAGATGGAGGCAAAGTATCTCACCACAGCTCAACCCAACTCCTTCCCAAAGACAAAGTTTCTGTAGAGCGCTAGATAAGTGAACCCTTAAGAGGGCTGTAAGGTTAATGGAGACCTTTTGTGTAGAGAATCAAAACAAAGGAAAGACTGCACTGAAGATTACACTCTCTCCTTACAGAGAGATGACTCAGTGCCTTATCACACACTATTTTCAAAAATAAATTAAACAAAACAGACTTAAGAATAGCAGCAAGAAGGGTATGTGTATTATGGCCACTCCAAGCCCCAGCATACTGGATGCACAGATCACCATTTTACTTTATTCCATGAAAACAAAGGAAAGATGTTATTCCCAATGCTCTCTGCAGGGCCCAGGCTGAGGAAACTTTGAACACTCTCATTTGGTCACTAGAGCAGGAGAAGGGAAGAAGAGAGAGAGGGGCCAGCCAGCTGCCTGTCTGATTTCAGCACTGCAATCCTATGACTCTCAACTACATATTCAATGAGTTGGTGTCCCAGGCAAAGAGAAGATGGGAAGAAGGCTGGGAGAACTCAGGCCACGGTGCTAATTCCTTTCCTGAACAAAGACAGTCTCTTGAGGACACAGGCCTGCCTCCTGTAATGTGATCTCATAGTCCAGGTGGGAGAGTTTCCTTCGAGGGAAGTTGGTGAGAAGCTCAAAGCGTTCATTGGGGTATCCTTTTGACTGGACATGTTTCACAAGAGCCTGGAGAGAAAGAAAGGCAAAGAAGTGTCATATAATTCAGAACAACATACATTTTCCTTTAAAAAAAGAAGTTGATAATCGCAGACAAAGGAAACTTTTAAATTTTGTATATAGTATAGACCCTCTTTTACTTTAATATCTAATTTTACCCACACATGTTAAGAATAATCATAAAAATTAATTACCAAGTGATCCCTTACCTAACTGATTCTTTAAACAGAAGACATACATAATAGTACATTAATTCAAGCAAGCTGAATTCCACATCACACATTCAAATCACAGTAAAATAAGATTTGAAAAAAAAAAAAAAAAAATTCCTTAAGTGCCCCAAAACAGAAGCCCCCTCACTTGTTTATCAGATATTACCCTTATATTAAACCTAAAAGCCACCAAAGAAGCATTTTTGTCAGGTAACATTGACAAAAATAAATGCAGTATTTTTACTAAAAATTTAATTTTTTCCTGCCTTCAAGAAGCATGAGTATTTGGGGGTTTTTTTCAGGCTCTTTTCAATTCATTGACTTCTCTTTCTACAATAGCAATTGGGGCAGGATACAGAGGGCATTGGATGAAGAGGTATCAGCCTCACAACCCAACAAGCAGACATATCAAGAAGAGCTAATGTCCATGCTACAGTGAGAGAGATTTCCCAAGTTCATCAGGAAACACAGCAGATGATAGTGTAAAGTACAAAGAGACAGGGATAGAGAAATGTAGATTGGCAGAACGTAGGGGATACAGCAACAGAGCAAGACTCAGGCAGAATGAAAAGTTGTAGCTTTTCAAAGAGGGGGGAAAAAGGCAATTAATAAGTAATAAAACAGAAAGTATGAAGAAACAAGGGGGTCCTGACAATACTGTTCACATCGTTTTGGTGGGCAACTTATGCCAGTATATTAAGTGCAAGGAGGTGCAGAAAAATAGCAGTATTAAGCTTCTACTACTACTGATTATTCCACTAGCTTCCTCTCACTATTTAGCCGCCGCTTCAGGACCACAGCGACCCAGCACACCAGAAGAAGTGGTCACAAACACGCACTTGGCAGTTACTGCCGCAGCTCACAGGCAAGGGGCTCAGGAGATCAGTTGGGTGGCTGTTCATTTTAGTGTTTGTGTTCTAGTAAGAAAGTTGTTGGTCATATCGTGCTGACATGTCACAGGATATGGTCTCCCACAACAGCCCACAGCACTCTTCCTAATATCTCAGGGGCATCAGTGTGAATGGAGCATGAGGTCAAGGAGCTGCAGGAAGAGGTCAGGATGTTCTCCTGCATCAGGGAAGATGAGCAGGAAAGCAGTAGGATGCTGGCAGCAACACTGCAAAGGCAAGAACTGAGGCCTTGCACTGCAGACAGAATGGGATTCACCAGAAGCAAGACTCAAACACAGGGAGGACAGCAACTTGCAGGACAAGACACCCTGGAGACTCATGACCTGTGGCAGCAAAACAGCAGCTCTCCTCTCATTTGGAAAAATTAAAAAAAGAAAAAAAAAATCAGTCAAAAACCCCATATAAAGGCTTGGCAACAAATGGAGAGGACAGACAACTTCCACTGCAAGACACAACCGGACCCACTGGTCCTACTCAACACGTCAAAACCAGCATGGAGAAGCAGCAGTGCATGCTGGTGGAGGGGACTCCTTCTGCAGGGGACTGAGGCACCCAACTGCCAACCTAACTCTGAGTCTTGGAAGCCTGCTCCTTGCCCAGAGCCAAGATGCAGGATGTCATGAAGAGATTGTCAAAACCAATCACAAAAGCTTAACACGTCTGCAGTGTGCCCGTGCAGCAACAGCAAACCTGGGCTGCATCAACAAGAGTATTGCCAGCAGATCAAGGGATGTGATTATGCCACTCTGCTGGGCCACACTTGGAATACTGTGTTCAGTTTTGGTCTCTCCACATTCAAGAAGGACAAGGAAAAACGGGAGAAGATCCAGTGGAGGGCCATCAAAATGACTAACAGGACATACTTTGGTACATGAAGAAAGGTTGAAAGACTTGGATTTGTTCAGCCTAGAAAGGAAATGGTTTGTTGGGAATATCATCACAGTGTTCCAATGTACAGAAGATGAAGGTATTTCTTTCACAAAGATGCACGGTGACAGGAGACAACATACACAAGTTGCTCCAGGGGAAATTTCATCTGGATATAAGGACGGAATTCTTTACTGTGAGAGAAATTAAACTTTGGAGTAAGTTGCCCAGAGAAGTAGTGGAATGTCCCTGGCTGGAACTATTCTAAACACAGCTTAAGAGGGCCCTGGATAACCTCATCTACAGCCCAGCTTTCAACGGAGGGTTAGACCAGATGATGTCTCCAGGGATCCTTTTCAACCTGGACTTTTCCAAGATCTGATGTCTATGGAACAGCCAGGGAAGTACCTGCATAGAGATTTCTTTTGAATTCATCAAAATCCACACACAAACCTTCGGTATGAGGAGACTGTCACCCCAACCTCCTCTTTTACCTGGACTGTTCTCCAACAGGCTTTGCAGATTACAATGCCTGTGTCTGATGAGGAATGCAAGTAAACGGGTTTGACTTCTTTTTCAGGCAACAAGGATGAACAGAATTCCTTTAGAAACCATTGTATTTAAAAATCCAGTTACGTTTACTGCCCACATCTCCCCCCTGCCCCATTTAAAGGCCAATCCTTCCTGCACACCTTACAACACTTGGTAGACAATATTATTCAGGCAACCAGTCAGCACTGCAGACGAAGGGCTGAGCTGCTGAACAGAGTGAAGTCATCTACTTAACTGCACACAATGAGCAATTGCTTCTATAAAAAGGCAGTGTTTAGTCTTTTTTTTTGCCTGGGGGGACAAAAAGGGTTATGGTAATATTGGAAACATAAGCACATCCTGGAGATAACAACAGTGTGTAAAGAAGCCACTCTTGATTGATAACAATGCAATGATTAAAAAAAGGAATGTTTTAAAAAACAGCCAGTCTTGGTGGGAGGGCAACATCGTACCATCAGTTAAAACTTCTAAAGTGCAACTGTCTCCTTAAACAATTTCTTTTTAGAGTTCTGGACAGCTTTAAAATGCAAGCAACTGAGAGCTGAAAAAAATCAGCATGGAAATGATGTTCACAAAGAAACATCTGAGACTCAATCTTGATCTGACTGAAACGGCTTTAAAAGATCACATGACGTGAGCACAAAAGCTGCCTGTTCAGCTCTGCAAAAAAATATATCTTTACCCACAAACCTTCACTCACCTCAATTCCTCTGCTGACTGTACAGCAGGCAGCAGCAAAGGAAATCGCCTGCCAAGATTAACTTCCTTTAACTACTGCAGTCCATAAAGGGAGTCAAACCAGAAGTCAGGATTATCAGGAATATATCAATATTACACCTATGTATCACCTAAATAAATTAAGTATTCAAAGGTGCTGCATGTTTAATAATACATGCAACTTTATTTAACAGGGTGCTTTCAAAAAGCAGTTAAGATATAAAAGAGTACTTGAAAAAAGATTATAAACTGATGAATGCTAGGACAGAGCAAGAATGAAGGTCTGAAAGTAAAGCTGGTTCCTACAGTAAGAGCGATGCTCTGCCAGCGTTCCTCAGTCTTTATATTTCAGCCCCAGGACTCCACATGTAGCACTGCAGGCAGTCTACAACCTTACGCTTACACTTGGTTTTGATAGATGACAGTGTAACAAAGGCAACGTTTTTTTTCCTTTTATTTTCAAGCAAAAGAGTTAAGGATGAGAATATGAGCTTGAGACACTGTACATTTCCAGAGCGCTGCAGACCTGGTTATAGCCTCATTTTGTGTAGGAGATGTGACACTTTTCTTCAAAACCTGCACAAGATCCTTCTGAAGAGGTGTGTTTTTGCCTTCCCTAAGACTTCAATACAGAGCTTTTAGGTTGATTACATTAAAATGAGCTTAACTGACCACTGTGTCATAAAAACTCACGGCTAACAGGAATATAGTGACCTCTTTACACACTGCTTCCAGATAAGCACCTGCAAAATTTTCATGGAAACACCATCCACATCAACTTCTCCAAGGTAAACAAGCCCAAAGCACAGTTGAGATGCACACCTAGCACAGTAATTAAATAATACTGTAACAAATTTGTTTTGGGAGAACTTCCTCCAAAGTCTGCTCTGTCATCCACGTCCAGAAGGGAGTGTGGAAGTACAGTGAAAGAGATGGAGAAAAAGAATGAGGAGTTTTGCCTTTGATTTTACCATTGTCTGACCATGGGCCACAACTGAACCTTTCCATTTAAGAAAAACAAACAGAAATGAATGAGCTGAGAGTATTTTACAGTAATTTAATGATTAATGCAAAAGCCATTTAGAATAATTTTAGAAAGGAAACTAGCAGTTCTGGGACTAAGGAAGACACTGGAGTGTACACACAACCCACGCAACAATGGAAACATACAGAGCCAGCAGAGCCTGTTGATCAGGAGAGAGGAATGACACGGAAGAAACACAACAGAATGACAGTGCAAGCACTCCCTGGATATACCACTTTCACTGGATCCAATTTCAATAGTGCCACCACAGGAAAAGATATTCTCCAGTTTCAGCTCTCCTGTACTCAAGCAAGGATTCCAATTAACTCCACTCACCAGAAGTTTAGCTTGTTCGGGCAGTGAAATTTGTTCCCTCTTTCCATCTGGATACCTTAGCATCAGCTGTGCCTTTGGTCCTAGCATAAAGGAAGTTACTACAAGTTAACAAATGACAAGGCAGCTGAATTGAGCTCTTCTGTAGATTTTAGGTGGCACGCTTTACTGCACAGCACAGCATGGTTAGGGACTGGAAACAAATAAAAGGTTCCAGCCTGTGAAGATATACTTCTACCACATGTGTTTAAGATATACACATCAAACTCAGGACTCTTTCAAGAATTAATAGTAGTGACTGAAAATGGTCAGCGTTCCCAGAGAAAAGCACACTGTGCTACCTCTGCCTTTGAGGCCACCTCATTCTGCTGCATCTCAGTTCAGCCACCACAGGGAGGACCACAGACTCCAGGGACTCATTTGTATTAGCCAAAGTTGCATTACTAAAACTCAGTCCAGACCATCAAGGCAGCCAAGCTAACTGAGCACGAGGTGGGACTGATGTTATTCTGCTTCTCTCTACCACACTGGTAGAAGCCCTGTCATATGCACCTGCATTACACCAATGCATACTTTATTCACGGACAAGGTCTCAAACTAAGAAACTTGAGCTCAGTGACTAACACAACTCTGTAGTTTGCAGCATCACTATGCCAAAGTGGTGCTGCTGGCAAGGTAAATCGCTCAAACGTCTGCTGTCAAGGAAGGAGTAAGACAGAAGAAAAGATTTAGCTTTTCAAAACAAGGGATGAAACCATGCTTGTCAGCACATTAAGTTTTTCAGGGGAAAAAAAACCAAAACAAAACAAAACACAGGTCACTATTAAAAAAAAAAGTGGCAACTTACCATTCACATCTAGGCCCTGAAATGTACTTTCAGGCTTGTCAGTTGACTCCTCCAGTATCCCTGCATCAATACAGGGCAGTACTCTGTGATTTGATGTTGTCCCAGGCTCAGTCCTTGCAGGCGGCTCAGGCTGAGGCCTCCGGCTCTCCTCTTTTTTATACCCCGAGTCCTTGTGTGGAGACTTCCTCGACTTGGCAGGATTCTCCGATTCCTCCTCCTCCTCAGATCCGCAAACTGAAATAAACTCTTCACTTCCAGAAAAAAGCTCTGACTCCGACTCCTCATCTGACCGACTCTCCTGCTTGGCCTGTGAGGAATCAAAATGTGTCTCCTGTAATGAGGCTCTGATAGCAGCTTCCAACTGGCTGTCCTCACTGGCATCAATGAGACTCTCCTGTTGAATACAGACATAACACAAATACATAAAAATCACTTTTAAATATATACTGAAAATCAAGAGGACATCAGTCTTTCAAAGAGAAGCTACTAAAACTGTCAGGAACAAACAGCATGGAAAGCTAGTCATGCTATGACTACTTAATGAGTTCTCCTTGGAGTTTCACATGGAGCAATATATTTTCCTTCCACACAAGCACAATTCTGTGACTGCTAAATCCAAAACAAATGCCGAAAGCACAAACTGCACAACAAAAACAGTTACCATGGGAGAAGTCATTCCCGGGCGCATCGTATTTTTGCATGTTCTTGCACTAACTCATTAAGTCTGTTTATACCACTGAATGGGAAATTAGTACAGTTCAATAAAGACAGGCTAGCATGTTCTTTCAGGTTTCTCCAGTCCTCCTAGAGGGCCTCATACTTACTGAACGAGAGCATTTTTGGGGAGGGCTGGTAGAATGGCCATCCAGCTGTCCATGCTCACTCAGGAACCCAGTCACTTGATCCAAGAAAGAAGTCACGTCTAGCTGGTGCCACTCCACTAGTTTCTGGCCTAGGGAACAAAAGGTGTCATGAAACATAATTTCAGCAAAAAATTGCAGCTTAGCAGTCAAATACATCAATTCACTGCTGTGTGTGCACTCTGCAAGAGTCCATATTTGTGGAACTGCAGCTTCGTACAAGCTACCACCTGATAATTATGAAGTTTTCTCCTTGCACTCCCTTGAAAAGGTTTCAATCATGGACAAACATAAATACGGACCCTTTTTATTTCCGTTCTTTTCTTTTTATCTATGGGAACATGCACACAGAATGGTGAATTAGGCTTCGAAACGAAAAAAAGCCAAACCACTAAGTTTATGAAGAAGCATTTCTACATTCTTGCCTGCTTTGATTCTACACCTTGGCAAACAGCATTTGTTTCCATCAGTAAAGTGCTAAGAAGCATATCCTAACTTTGGTTTCAACATTAAAAAAAAAAAAAAAATTGTTTTGGGTGGTTTAAGTCAAATAGCAAGAAATCTCAGCTCTGATTACAGACACTATTACTTCAGTCCTGAGAAGCAGAAGACCAGACCATTCATATAGTTGCATTATATGATGATAAAAGAAGAAAGGGTATTGGGATACAAAAGAAAAAGTAGCAATTTCAAAAGAGCTGGAGGGGGAGGTAGAAGTTTCATTGTTCTGGAAAAAAAACCAAAACCAAACAACAAACCCAAAGCCAAAATGGTATTTCAAAATTAAGATGCAATTTAGTAAGTCATCGCTGAGCCTCATAAAGCTACTGTGCAAGGAGCAGGAAGCAGATTCGTGTAATGCTTACAAGTATTGTAGTTTATTCATCACATGATTTCAAGTAGCTTTTAAAAGGACACTTTAAAAAAAAAATTAATTTCAGAGTTTTAGCACCAGGTGGTACTATTTTCACTTTCTAAGCAAAGTACTTGCTAAGCTATACCAGGTATGATAACCAAATAACACAAAATTTCAGCGAGCCTTGGGAGTTTTAACCCCTTAGTTCCTCCGAAACATACTACTTCACTTCTTCAGGAACAAGGTCTCTCAGTAAGCAAAACAATGTAACTGAGATTCTTCAGCTGAATGTAACAGGCACTGTGAAAGATGGTATTCTAGCCTACAACTGCCAGTCCTTCTCACAGGATATATAAACTGCAGGTAACCAACCGTCACTTATCTTACCTGTCCTGGGATCCAGGATAGAGACGTAAGGGAAGTCTGCTAATTTATAAAATTGTATGTACCTCTGTCCTTCCTCACTGTCATGGTATACCTAGAAAATACCATGTCGGAAGCAAATTACTGGGTGGAGAGGGAACACAAATGAATCTGTACCTTGTACAAAGTTTTTCTCTATTTTACAGTATACACTACAAACGGTATGTACAGTTCTCAGTAACTCTGACAAGCTGAAAATACACCTCTAATGCTCCACATATTAGAAGCTACGTGGTAACATCTTGAATGCACAAGTGAAAAGGCAGTTGATGCATGCACATGCATATCCATGAACTACATCTACATCCATAAACTACATCTCCATGAACTACTGCATCTTTTCTGCAAGTTCACAAAGAGAACTGCAAGAGTCCCATTTTATTCAAAGAAATCAATTTTTTTCACTGTCCCATCTACCAGGACACCGTTAGCCACACGGCCCAATTAAATTTCTTACCTGCCAAAAAATGAAATGTTCCCGGATTATGTTCTTCACAGCCTCATTGCTCCAGACATCACGGTTGAGACACTGACAGGCAAAGTCTTGCACGTTCTGTATGTTTATCATGAGCCATTTGTTCTGCATCTGACCACACTCCTTGGCCTGTAAGCAGAGAGAAAAGCTTCATTAGATAAAACTGAAGAGCCAGGCATAACCAACGCCAGCAATGATCAGTGATGGCTTCTAACACTGTCAGATTTTTCACCAAAACCCCTTCACAGTGAGAAAGATGGACAGTGCTAGTGAAAAGGCATCCACAAAACAGAAGGCAGGGCTGAAGGACCTGCTTTAAGTGAGACTGGTTGAATTACAGAATCACATCGATGAACAGAGCTGCTGGATTTCAACAAGCCAAGCACAGAGTGGGAAAAGCAACTTGGGGGACACACAGGGACACTGAATAAAGAGTGTAGTCAGTCACACTGATCTGACAACAGAGGAAAGACCTGCTCATTCTAAACATAAACCTGTGGACCATCTTCTATTTAAATAGGTTGCATAACTGACAGAGGACTTGCATTAATTCAACAGGACCCCCTCTCTGCATGTTTTCTTTTTTTCTCTCCAAGTTTTGAGTTACTCTGTTACTGTGCATCTGCCGAATTAGGCATCCTTTTTTGATGCTCGTTATCCAGACTGCAAGTGGGAAGGAAGACAGGAAGGCGCAGGAAGAAATCTTACTGGTTTGAGTCACAAAGCTGGCACTGTCTGATTGCTTGGTTGCAAGTTAATGGTAGGAGTTTGATCAAGAATGTAATTCTGATCGCTGAACTGTCATACCTGTTGAAAAAAAGAGGGCTATATTAACAGTTTTGAATGCTCTTACCGCCTGGAAAGACTGGAACTAGCATATGAACTCCCTTTCCTTTTAAAAAAGAAAAAAGTATTTATTTATAAGTGCGTTTACCATCCTGCTGGTAATGCACTTAACAGCAAATTCAAGGAATTAGGATGTGATACAAGATTTTGCTGTTTCGGGCAGTATTTTGTTCCCCGAACCAAAGTTTTTACTTTTAAAACAAATTTTAGCCAGTGCAGTTTTGAGTATTCAGCCTATCCAACGTGTGACAGACAGACACGTGAACCCCATACGCTTAGTCTCATGAAGTGAAGAATCTCAGTCTACAAAATTAATCTGCATGGCCAAGTGACCTGCAGAGCCAATTTTTATTTTACTCAAAGGAAAAAAAATGAATGTAGAAGCATAGAATAGTCCTCCTGTTCTCGCAAGGGACCTCATGCTAACTACTTACCACTAATATTAGTGTCAGAATCCAGTATTTGGTCACCAGGAGAGCAAAGTGGGGCAGCTGACACCTAAGTAACTGGTAAGAGTCTTAAATATAGTCATTATGCCTTTATTTAAAAGATGTGTTTTGAGCTAACTGTGGATTTTGAGAACTAATTCTAGGAAATCAGTTTAAGACGAGGCCTAGAGGTACTGCCCAAGTTTAAAGGGAAAGAAAATCCTTACGTTGTTGGAGTCAACTGGATTGCCTTAGTCCTGTGTCCTAATGTTATCCATGTTGGATTAAAAGAACAAACTCAAAAATATGTAACTAGAAAGCTGGAAAGTGCATGTCACTCTTCTACACTTACTTCGTATATTTTTCAATATTAGTGACAACCTGGGTCTACCTCTCCTCCATCCAGCTAGGGCCCTCGAAAGGATACAAGCAGGAAATTCCACACAGAACATTTGCAAAGATGAGGTTTTTACCTGTAGAGCAGGTATAGCTTTTGAAATTACTTTTAACTTCCTTCTAAAATAAACAGGCTTCAGATTTAACATTTAAAAGGACACAGTTAAATTGCTACCACCTCTCACACACATACAACTCTGCTCTTACACAGCTACTGGGTTTTTCTGAGGGGGAGGAGGTGGGTGGAAGGAGAAGAGTGTCGGGGGAAGAAATGCTACGGGTTTCAAGGTTATATTGGTGGGTCATTTTGGTAAGTGACAAAAGAACAAGGGAAGGCTCAAGAGCTGGCTTGCACATCCCGAAAACTATGATGGCTTTAGATCCACTGTTTCCAACATCAACTGCCCCCCATTTCTCCTCCTCCTTCAAGGTATAAAAGCCAGCGTCAGGCACTTCAAGAGCATACAGACAGGGTAAGTACAGAACAAACACTCTTTGCAAGCATCTCTGTTCAAGCTTTCAGCAATCAGCAGAATAGGAACTTTCAAAGACAGAGATAGTGGATCTCAGATACAGTAGGCCAGAAGCACAAAAAACCCAACCCAACCCAAACCCAATCTGTCCTAAGTTTACCTTTACCCTTTCTACCTATTTACATTTTTTATCACTATGACAACTTACAGCAACAAACTAGCAATCTAGTTAGACAATATGTGAAAGAAGTCTTGTTTTACACTCAGTACTGGACTACCTCTAGCCCTTGCACTACTAAAAATAACATGTTTTCCTCTCATTTGACTTTTCTGAACCATGTATGGTTTATAAATGCTGTGGTGGTTCTTTCTTGCTCAGCTTTGTTGAAATGCACTGCTCCTTTAAGTCAGCAAGGAGAAACAAGGAAGTGGAGCCAGCATCTTGTGACCTTCTGGACCTCTGCTAATCAAGAATGATTCAGTTTGGAAGATAACAGGTGACAGAAAGTCAGAGCACGAGATTATCTAACAAGAAATATCCTATCTGTGCTACACTTACACTTCTTGCCTGGGCCACATGTCATGGTTTAGCCCTAACCAGCAGCTAAGCACCACACAGCTGCTCGCTCACTCCAC